TCATTCCGCTAGTACATGTTATGATTATAATCCAACACCATTTTTACTAATAAAAATGGTGTTGGATTATAATCATAGCATGTACTAGCGGAATGATCTGGTATAGTAAAATTATTTTTTTTATATGTTGCACACCGTGTGAAAAATCAGTCGTATAACATCAACGTTCTTACCTGTACCGGTATATATAGATATACCGTATAGTTCCGAAATTAAGCACCAACCTCAACCCTAATTTTTGAATACCAGGTTAGCGGAATTTGTAAGATCTTTGCCAAATTACTCCCGCTAATCTGAGATTCAAAAAATTGGGATAGAGGGTGGTGCTCAATTCCGGTAGTTATTGAATGCTGTATTATTTATTATAAGTCAAATGAATATCAAATAATATGTACAAAAAATATGTTGGATTAGAGATTTAGAAAAGCGGTCAGGAGAAGGACTCTGAAGTTTTTAATTAAAAAATGGAACTAAAAATACTTAAGCATATCAGAAACTTTGACATAAATGCAAATAGTGGTAGCAAACTAATTGTATTGCCATTACAGTATACAGATAATAACGTGATAATAACGTGAATGCCAACAAATCAAATTTTGAGATTGATTTCGTCGATTGTAACAAAACTTCATTTTCAAAATAAGATACTTCAAAGGTTTTTGACGTAAAGGGAAAAAATATAGATAGTATTTAAATATGAAATAACAAAAATTTTTATTATAATAAAGAATATTGGTTATATTGTAAGATATAAATGTTAGCTTAGAAATGAAAGCTGTCTTTTTTTTTTTTTTTTTTTTACAAAACCTATAGATTGTTATAAATTTTATGTCTGCAACTTGTAGATCCCTTAATTAAATCATTACCCTAAAAATTTTGACATACCAACAATGAAAATGATCAGCAATTATTGTTGAAACTCCTTTCTTGAATTCTCTGTATACGTATGCTACGTAGACACCTAAAATGACAATAAATAAATTTTTAAAAAAAATCAATAGATAATAATTGCGGTTTAAAATGCAAATTATTGGAAATTACTGCATTTAGAAAATTTACTTCGATAGAATTAGATAGATTTTCAAGTTTCGATTTTAGATTCCATTCGATCTTCTTTATAGCATTAATATTTTAAATTGGTTATATCCAGAAAACACGATCTGAGAGTATGAAATCCTTTTAAATATGACAATCAAGTCATGAGGACTACTATCGAAGCTAATTAATTTCGCTTGATCTCTTATTCAAGTAGGTAGAGCGATCAAAATAGTTGAAATCATTTTCTTATTAATTTTTTATGCGAGCTGATCAGTCGATAAATTATTTTTTGCAAAATCTCCTATTTAATTTAATAAGTGTCATAATCACTTATTACAGTAGTCAGAATATTTGAGATATAATATTCGAGCCATAATACTATATTTTCATTTCGTTCACATGAACTATTTAGCTATGTGTAATTACGTAGTATGTATCACAATAAATTTTACTAATTTTTATTTTGTTTAATTATTAATTCGAAATTAACTTTTCATTAATTAAAATTTGAATTAAACTATTCAAGCCCGGAATATTTCAAATTTACATTAACGTTAGCATTTGTAATCTGCATTTATAATACAAGTTATAAATAGTTAATAAAATGGGTAACACGAGGTGCTACTCATCGCACTACGTAGCATATTAATATGTATTATATTTTGTGGCTGCACTTATTTATAGGATTTACTGTATCGGGTATATAAATAGCGATGTCGATATATGTATGCAAATCTTTCGGCGGAACTTTTAACCAGCCCGTAAAACCAGTCGTATGCAACCATTTATTTGCAACAATGCTTCTAGAATATTACTTCCGAGCTAAACAATTAATTTTCCGAAGTAAACATTGTCACCGCTGACAAATTAATGACTTGTCAGAACCAGTTCGGATGGTCGATACGAAGACATGCCGTGGTATATTTAAGCAAGCCGTAAGTTCCTCTTTCTTCTTTCAAAATTTACGAATTCACAAATATTTATAATAAATTGGTTAAATAATATTTTCTTTCATAGAAATTTTTAACATTAAAAAAAAAAAAAAAAAATGCCAACAAAACCAAATATTGTAATTGTTGGTGGAGGATATGGCGGAATAGCCGTAGCCACAAAGCTCGAATCAGCCCTTCATAAAACTCATCAAATTGTTCTTATCGAACGTAAAACACACTTCTATCATGCAATTGGTGGCCTTCGCACAGTCGTTGAAGATGGATTTGAACATAAAGTCATTATTCCTTATGATAATCTTTTTAAGCATGGAGGAAAAGTTGTACATGCTACAGTTACTACGATTCATAAAAATGAGGTTATTGTTAATACCGATACTGAATGGGGAACTCATATACCATTTAAATATTTGATAATTGCTACCGGATCTAATCATTCTAAACCTGCAAAGATGACAGCAGATAATAAAGAAGAGGGTATTGCAGGAATAATCGCTCAAAGAGAAGCTGTAAAAAATGCAAATAAGATTTTGATTATTGGTGGAGGACCTGTGGGCATTGGTATGTTATAATATATTGTTATAAATAAATCAAAAATTCCAACGTATTATATTTTGATTATTTTATTAATTTCTTTACCATTCATTATTTATATTAATTTAAATAGAACTTGCAGGAGAAATTGCATCAGTTTACCAAGACAAAGAAGTTACACTTATTCATTCAGAAGAACATTTGCTTACGGATAAATTCCCAAGAAAATTGACTGGTAGTCTTGCTAAACAATTGAAAGAATTAAATGTAAAACTTATTTTTGGAGAAAAAGTTATTTTTCCTTCTTTTGGTATTGGTGATGGTTTGTCTCCCCTAACTTTGAAAACTAACAAGGTAAATATTAGTTCATGTTTTTTTCATATAAATACTGTATATACAGTAATATTATCCATTCAACTAAAAAAAAATTTTTTTTATAGGGTACACAAATTGATTCTGACGTTCAATTCGTAGCTTTTGGTGCAAAGCCCAACACTGAAGTTATAGAAACTTTGGATCAATCATTGATCGAGCAAATTACTACTCTGGTAAAAGTTAAGCCAACTCTTCAACTGGAACATGATAATTATGCACATATATTTGCTCTCGGGGACATAACAAATATTAAAGAATCAAAACTTGCCTATCGTGCTAGCCTTCATGCTGATGTCATAACTAAAAACATTATTGCGCTCATTAATAATAAAAAATTAATTGAATATAACACAGGTTCTGAAGCTATTGTTGTTCCAATCGGAAAGGTATTGTCTTTTTTTTTTTTTCTTTACGTTGTTCACTATTACTTTTTCTTTTAGGTTTGTTAATGAATTTATTCTAATGTCAATGTTTTTTTTTTTCATAAATTAGAACAAAGGTGCATCTCTTTTACCAATCGGTAACATGGTTTTTGGTAGCTTCATAACAAAAAATATCAAGGGCAAAACACTTATAGTTGATAAAATGTGGAAATCATTGAATGCAACACTTGCTGCATAATGTATACTTACTCTTATCAATAATTGTATAATTGCATACACACCTATCAACTATATAGTTCTTAACATTTTATTTTGTCATTCCGAATAACGTGATGTATTACGTGAAGTATCAGTTTAAGTTGGTTACGATTTTATATTAGTTAAATAGAACATGAAAATTTAACATAATAATAATACTTTATAATTTCCATAAGACAATTTTTTTAATTTATATAATTTTTGTTCTGTAAAATAAGATAACCAATTATTTTAATTTTTATATTTTATAATTATTTTTTTTATTATTTATGGAATAAATAATTATTATGTTTAATCAAATAAAAAATTTAAACATTGAAAGTAACGTTTATAATGGGTGATTCAGAATTAATGGTGCAGATTTTCCTATAACGAATTATAATCTTTATCATATAAAAGTTTACTCATTTTATCACCAAATAACTCTATTTCATTTCTGATTTTGAATGTTCAAGCCAGAAATAGAACTTTTTAAACTCACTTATTTTCGAAATAAATTAATTCTGAACCACTCTAATAAAATAATTTTATTATATAGTATAGCCAATTCTTCTGATATGGATATTGTTAATGGAATAAATAACCCTATTTATTGTTCACCTGGAAATTTAAGGTTTTGTTTTTTATCAAAAGAAACTTGTAGTAATTATGTTGAAAAACTTCTCCACTATCTAGTTGCTTAGTAATTATGTTGAAAAACTTCTCCACTATCTAGTTGCTTTATTGGATTCAAATCCTAATACAATATTTAATAATAAATTTGGTATATGTAGTTGGTAAATGTTCTGTCATAAATAGTGATGGGAAAAATGCGCATTTTATAAAAACATTCGCATGATATCGCATGATACAATTTTTTGATATTATATTTTACCTTCGGAAAACATAAAAACTTTTGCTCATTTTTGATCCGTCCCTTCTCGTCTTTGTGTCCATTCATTTTCTTTTCGGAAACTGCTTTTTATTTCTTAATTCTGCTCGATATTATACTCTCTGGCCTAAATTATATATATTTAATTTTCCTATATAAAATTTAAATGGAATAAAATGCGATTGATTCCGAATTATGCGCGTGAATAGCCACCCTATCTAAAGTAGCCCTGGGCTAGAATTACGATTTAGTGCATGCATGAAGATCTAATTTCAGGGGCCTAATTTTAGTCAGGCGCTACTTTATATATCTAAAGTAGCTACTTTAGATAAATCGCTACTTTAGATGCAACAAATACACATTATTGTGACTGTTGAGGAATCATGAAACCCATCTCTAGTCAAAATTGTTTGATAACTACATGGCAATAAATGTTCTTTTTTCAGAAATTTATCGATATTCAAGCATCATGGAATTGAATAAATAAATAAATAAAATGGCGGTTGTGCGCAAAAAAGGTATAATTAAAAATAGTCAAATAATTAGTTCAAGTAGAAAGTAGTTGGTCAAAGTTAGACGAAAAAACTATTATTTCCATTTTTATCGAGTTACGTAATTAATTGTTGTGAACAATAAGCGGACTTTTGTAACGCTTGCTGTGTATAATCGATAAGAGTCTTGGCATTATTAAACAGATAATGTCCTGAGATAGATTTAGATATTAGCATTTGGCATTTGTGTTTTCACTTCCGCATCTCAGATTGAGCCGTGCAAATAAGAGAAAGTGTATCTTTCCTCAGATAAGGAAATGGTTATCCTTTTTTATAAGTAATAACCTTATAAAACATTAGACATTGAACTCCCAATGGTAAGCAATACACTGATATGGCAGTTACACATATGAATAGAAAAATAAACAAAACATTATCCTTATTGATAATTTTAAATCAATGAAAATGATTGAATGAATTTATCATTGTCAAGACTAATCATTCTAAAGTTTTGCGATATATAAAATTAAGCTGTCAAAAATTTTGTTGGCATCTCTGTTGAATGCTTTCAAAATTATCTAAAGCATAATTATTTTAAATAATTTACAATTTAATATGAAGTTTCAATTATTTTATATTTGGTTATTGTTAATCACGAAAATACAAGCAGTGAATAATTCGACAAAAAAATCAGCTGAGGATCTTTCGTTTCCTGCTATCGTAGAACTTGAAAAGCGACAGGAATTTAAACGTGTTTTTTTTTTAAAACGTTATCCCATTGCTGAAGAAGTTGTTCCAGCACGAGGACCAGCACCAAAACCAGAACCAGAACCAGAACCAAATTCTTACCCGGGTTCTCCACAAACTGCTTCAAATTCAAATGGAGGGTTGCAACCATCATACAATCTACTAATTTCTTGGAATTTTCTCCTAATTTATTGGCATTTTCATCACTATATCCATTTTTTTTTGCCCAATCTACCACATCATTCTTAATGATATCCTCTGTTTTATTTACGATACATTTTATATATATATCGTATCTCACCTATTGACCTATCGGAATGTGAAATGATCGAATTGGCTAATACAAATCGGATAATTTTGAAAATAATATCACTATTTAGTTAGTAAATTCTATTGTTATGCCTTCTGTCGAAGTCACCATTACTGTTTGTGTTTTTTGTAATAAATAATATGAAAAAATTTGACACTGAATTTACAATAATTAGAAATAAATATAACTAATAATGTTGCATTTCGTGTGAACAGATTAAAAGTTTATTTAGCATTCATACAAATTTAGCTCTAATGAAACTAAAATCTAAATTATTACATTTACTATATCTGATATGTTACTATATCATACATATTTATATATGCATTTATTTTTAAAAAAAGCCTAATTATTTCATCAATTTTGTTTATTGTATATATAAAATAGCACTATGCTATAATAATATTTTTATTAAAAAATTTATAATTGTACACTGATATATAATACAATTGTAAATACAAATTTGTACGTATAACATGCCAATCAAACCAATTTTTATGAAAAAAATTAAACTCTTGCTTATGATTAGGGATGGGCTCAGTTGGTTTCGGTCAGTTATTATCGGCTAAGCCACGGCTAAGTCATCGGCTAAATAGCCGACTATAATCGATAAAATTATTTAATCGATTTAAATAACCAAAAAGGTATACATGGGTGTCTAAATTGCCCATCTTAATAAAAAAGTAATTACGGCATTTAGGCTGCCGAAATTAATCTTATATAGTGCCGAAATTAATTTTCATATTTGCCGAAATTATTGCCGAAAATTTTTGAACTCTTTTCATCAAAATACATCATAGAATATATTTATTTCGAAGGGGTTCATATAAAAAATTTAAAATGTTTGCCGAAAACACGATTTTTCAAAAATAATATAGAATGGAGTAGTGCCATATTTATTAGTAAACAAAACATGTTGTTGTAATTTACTACAATGTCCCGATTTGTATAGAGTAAACAATACTAATTATTTGATGGAAATAAGCTGTTTTGCTTACTTTTTATAAAAATTTTGTTAAAAAAGTAAGTAGGTGATAGTATGAAGTATAGCCCTTACACTCTTTTTAAAGAAATATATATTTTTTTCCAAAGCTAATAAAATATATATAGCCAAGTGTATTGCTAGTTTTCTTGTTAGTAGGTGATAAACTCTGAACTTGTTAGCAAATAGCATATGAGAACTACTTCTAAATAACAAGTACTATCCCCACAATAAGTGATAAGCTCTAAGCCTATTAGCAGATAGCATATGAGAACTATCTTAAATAACAGGTGCTGGTTTATAGTTTTGACTAGTTTTGTTTTCTTCTTTTCTACTATAGTTTACTGTTTTTTTGAAAAAAAAAGTTTATTGTAATTTTGGAACAAGAGATCATTGAGAAGAGTTGTGATTAATATTTAGTATTAATTAAATATTAGTACAATAAAAAAAGAAATATATATATTATTCTTTTACCTTTTATATACTTATATCTCTCTATTATACAAATTGAATATCAAAATAATAAAGCAAGAAAAAGTATATATAATTCTTTTACTTTAGATATACTTATATTTTTCTAGAATACTATTAATATATAAGTTAAATATTAGAAAAATAAAAAAAAAAATTAATATATAGAATTCTTTTACCTTCTGTATATCTATATTTTTTTAAAATACTATTAATATATAATTTAAATATTAGAATAGTAAAAGAAGAAAAAAAGTATGTATCTCTTTTACTTTTTATATATCTATATTCTTCTACAATGTATTTTAATATCAGTATAAAAAAGAAATAAAAAATATATATATAATTCTTTTACTTTAGGGGATGTCCATAATTTATGTTAAACTGGTATTGTTATAGGGATCTTAAAGATAATACAAAAATAATACTATATGAAATTATCTTCAAAAACTCTATTTTTATACAATACTGTACTGGTTTAATATAAATTATAGATGTTCTCTTATATATATATATTTTTCTACAATATAAATTAAATTTAATAAAAATAAAAGCATAGTCTTACCTTTAACATTAAAAAAAAATAAAAAAATAATATAAATTAAATTTTTTTTTTTTTTTTTTTTTTTTTTTTTTTT